TAAACGTGGGTACACACTATATATAACGTGAATAAGAAAAGAAAATCACTATTTGTCGCCGTTCTAATAGTTAGTTCATTTTCAAAATAAAAAGCGTGTAATAAGAACGAAAAGATATGCTAAGTCGGACAGCACAAAATGAGAATTAAAACAAACCGATGGAAGATGTAAAAAAAGCATATTACATTTTCTTACATTTTGCATCTCTTGTAAGCTGATCTAGAACAGTGAACGAACATAAAACAACGACGAGTTTGTATATTGATAGAATGCAAAACGATTGAAAAAGGAGATATACGACTATCTTGTACTGTAGAAAGTAAAAATTACGAACACACTGATGTCGGTCATATCATATTAAATATTCATTAGAATTCTATTTGAACAAATATACACTCGTTACTTTAACATCTTTTATTTGTTTCTTTTTTATATGGCAAAAACTTTTCCAATGTATTCATCATCGACTGTCCTCGTTAATATTTTAAAAATAATGTATTTCTTTATTAGTTTGTTGTCTAGACAAACGCATATGATAGTTTGTGAAATATATCCATTCCATACTTCGAATGGAATTGTTTATGGATGCCCTAGTTTCAGTCATCGTGATATACATCTTACATTTGATGATGGACCAAGCAATGTTACTTCTCATTTACTTGACACATTAAAATATTACAACATTAAAGCAACATTTTTCATTATTGGTGTTAAGGCTCTAAAGTATCCAGACATAGTGAAAAAAATCAAAAATGAAGGTCACACAATTGGTTCACACACATTATCACACAAAAATTTAACTTTTTTGGAATCCATTGGCAACTATTCTGAGATAGAACGTGAAATTTTAGAAAATGAACAAGTTTTGAAAAATATCACTGGTGTTCGTCCATGGTAAGTAACTAGGAGAAGAGATGTTGTGACATATCTTCTGATATACTGTAACATATGCCGAATCTTGATGTAGTTTGTGCAGTAAGCGATCAATGAGGTTAAAGAACTTATATACTTATAGTTTATAAACTTGCTATCAAAAGTTAAGCATTTTTTTAATGATTGATATAGGCTATTTCGACCACCTTATGGTGCCATCACATTGAATATTAAAAAATATTTAAATCATCACAACTATACTGTTGTTATGTGGAATGGAGGCAATGTGGATTGGTTTTATAAGGATATGAATAAACAAACAGAAATGTTATTAATGGGTATGGCAGATGCAGGTGGAATCGTTTGTTTTCATGATAGAGTTCCTGATACATCTAAAAATATTTCAATATTCATTAAAGCATTTATGGATGAACAACATAAATTTATATCATCGGAAGAATGTTTAGCTGAGAATATGTAAGTGAAGACGTGTATTCAATTTAATTACACACTTTGTACATGCAACATGCTGTTTTTATTCACATGAGCTAAGGGAGCATTTCAAAATTCTTGCCGCTCTCTCTGCTGCTCTGCTGCGGCACAACGGATTTATTTTAATGACGTTTCGATATATTATCGGTTTCTTTTAATGTATGTATACGTAAACATGAAATTTATTTTGATAGATAAATTGTTGAATTCTCTTCACGATTTTCCAATTAAAGAATAAAACAAGAAACGAATAAATTTTATATATTCATCAAATGTTAACTTTTACATATTCAAGGAGGAGAGTACTCACTGTAAATGTATTTCGTAAGTGTATATTTTGTGCTTTTCTGACTGTTTTCCGCTTCTCTGGAGAAAATCGCGACCCGAACTTTAAACTTTGTTGTAAGAAGAATTAGACTTTGGTTAAAAACCAACAGTCGGATATATCTGCTATCTGCACCAAAATTCAATGCACTCGGTTGGTTTTCGAATAAGTCTATGACGATAAAAGACAAAGACTTGCAATTTGCAACAATCGAAAGAAGACACTTTAACCTATGTTTTCATAAGCAAAACCTTCCAAAACCATTCGGAAGATCGATTTTATAGCAGATCTTTGAAAGAGCACTTGGGATCTCCGGAAACTAAGCTAGAAATCTACCAGTTTTTTTCATAAATAGATAGCCCAAAGTGTCTTCTCGAAAGTGCGAACTAAGTTAACGCTTAAGTTTCCCGGTTCAGGTGTGACATCGGATTTCCTGAGAGTCGCATAATCTTAGAAAAACTTAAGCGTTAACTTAGTTCGCATTTTCGAGAAGACACTTCGGGCTATCTATTTATGGAAAAAACTGGTAGATTCTAGCTTAGTTTTCGGAGCTCCAAAGTGCTCTTTCAAAGATCTCCTATAAAATCGACCTTCCGAATGGCGAATAGTAGTAGAAATGCTGTTATTGACGTTATCTTTGTTGTCTTTGCTTATGTACTTGAGTTTTAACTACCAAATTTTATTGAGAAACAACCAAAGCTATCTACGTATAGAGATATATTTGATTGACTTTTAAAATCCGACTTGGCTCCAAATAACTTCAAAATCAATGAAATAAACTAGGAAGTGGTAATAGAGCCGATAGTTTTATTTTCAAACAAGTGTAGCAGATAATCGAAATAACAGGAAAAATCTTGGCATTTACAAGGTAGGTGAGAGTAGAGTAGGATATGATTAGTTTGCTCAATGGGCATTTGTTTCAAAACTTCGTAGAATTGCTTGATGCTGTTCATGCATCATGTTGATTTCAAATTATCCGGTGCATTTTTCTAATAATCGATATTTTAGCATTGATCCTACTACTGGAATCATTGGCATGTATACAAGAAAACAAAAGATATTGATTGTGACTATTTTCCTTTTTTTCTTTCTCTTACAACACATATTTATATTCTCTCTATTTAGTGAAGAACATATCTTTTAAACGATAATCAATGATATTCACAGTAGTCAGTTTAATGTAGGAAATTATTTAATGAGAAAACAGCGTTGTTCACTTGAACCAAAGTCAATGAAATATTGTATGTTTTTGATGACAAACTGTAATGTTGGTTCACGTTTGTTTTTGTTAATACGATGAAAGCCTTTTATGATGAAAATTGCTATTGTACAACGTTGCACAATAGCAAGGATTTTCTTTCGCTCTGGTTTGTTCCTTTTACGTTGGTACATCTAGCTGTGTATAGTTTAGTTGTCATTTTTTCGACTAAAGGTGTGTTAGATAACAGAAACATCTCGAATAAATAAATCAAAAGGATTAAAGCGGTGTCCATTATTCTACTTTTCATCATGTAATGTTGGTGTTGAGGTGTTGTTTCGTATTAGTTTTTCAAAACTTAACACAATCTTCGCTTTGATACCGACTATCAATGATCGATATTAAAATTTTGTCTTTGAAGGTTAGAGAGCAGTTTCACTTCTAGCCACCTGTTTTTTTTAACAAGTAAAACGAATAAGATTTTAAGTTCCAGTCTTGGTGATATTATAATATTCGTGGAGAACATCGCGTCGGTCCATGAAGTGTAAGCCACTTTACGTTGACCGGTTTTGAACATCAACGTATATCATACGTTCGTACGTTCGGAACGTCAACGTCAAGTACGTTCACGTTTAATTTTTTCCAGATGAAGGTGAACACCTGCACTCTTACTGTTTTATAATCTGTTACTCTGTTTGGTTGCTGTGAAAGATAAGCACTGCAAAATTCTGAAACAATTATCATTGAATGTGCAAAAATGTTTTACGGGGGCTGTTAGAATACACAAAAATGTGTAAAGTACTTTTCTCTACGAACATGTGGCAGCAGTCTTTTTTTTAGTTTTTCGTCTACTTTTCTACTCTTTCTACTTTTCGTCGCTTTCATACTTTTCATCGCTTTCACAGTTAACAGAATCACGCGCTTCTACATTTACCTCAGCCATAAGAATGCTCCAGAAAAGAACGATACATAACGGACGCACACTGTCTTTTTCCCTTTTTTCCTTTTCCTTCTGTGTATATTCTGTGCGCGGTAAATGCAGAAGCGCATGATCCTGTTGATTCGTTGAAGCAAGCTATAGGAGATGCCTTCAACAACTTGGACCAGGAGATTATCAACAAAGCCATCGACGGTTGGGTGAGGCGATTAGATGCAGTGATCGAAGCAGAGGGCGGATATTTTGAATAAATATTATGTTGTTTTTTGAAAATAAATTTGTTTGAAATTTCAAAAAAAAAATATCGTGTAATTTTGGGTCACCCTGTATATTCAGTAACGGGTAATTGCAGCATTGCCAGATGTTTTGGTAAGTAGAGAATATACTGATTTAAGCGGGGGGCAGTGTCCTTCCTCAAACATGCCATAGAGAACACCTTCAGCGATATGGCTATGCAATAAAAAACTCGTTGATCAAGTACTGACAAAGTTATCAATTAATCAAGTTCAAAACTAATTGAAATTGTGAAGGTGTTCTCTACAAACTGACCAAATTTGAGGGCATGTTTGCCTCCCCCTTAATATAGAATCTTAATAGTAGTTCCAACTTTAGATGATGAGTCATTACCTGTTGGATCTGTGCCCATTGTTAAGCTCGAGAATGATGTGACAGAACAGCTAGTTAAGCGACATATTATCACAAAGCGTGAGAAATTACTAGGCGAAATAATCGAGAAAGACTTGCTGCTCAGCCGTCTTCAACAAACAAGAGACATTGATCGTGAAGGTCTGTTAATATGTCCAACGCACCGCTATAATTACGGTGTTGGATGGACCCCACAAAATCACTGTTATCACGCTGATCACAAGAATGACACGAAGAGACAATCGACAAAGAAAAATTATAGACGAGCAACGTTAGAGCAAGTGAATAATCTTGCTGGTTTCTCTATTGGTGGTCGTTTATGCTATGAACGTCGGACAATAAGTGAAACAGTGGATACAATGACTCTAAATTACCGTATCTTCTTTACCGGATTCGAACGTAACATTCGAAAAACGAATCAATACAAAAGAGTCGGCTAACAGGATTTGGACTGCGGCGAATCTCAGTCCTCAAAAGCCAAACAACGATGCCACTTCAGACTCAGTCCGGCAGTGGTATTCGCAGACTGACTTCAAAATTCAAGAAAAGTATTCAAGAAATAGTATCAAATCTAGCCGAATCGATGGCACTCGGTCAGGGTGAAACACTAGTGAAGCTTTCGGATTTAGATACGATGCTTGAAAAAGCACACCGTCAAAACCAACATTAGAGGTTCATAGCGCGATGGTCAGTTATCTCATCGAGACGTATCGCCAGTATGATCAACAGAAATTGCCGTACCAGGAAAAAATTCGAATTCTGTCATTGTTACCTGCAGATTGGACATACAATGAGATACAAGAGAAATTTGGCTGTACTCGACATGCGGTGAACGTAGCGAAAGATTTACGGTTGTCCACGATTACATCGTTACATTTAGAACCCAAAAATGCCTTAAACGCTCTCGTATCTCGCCAGCGTTGATGGAACACTTCATTACTTGGCTGGTAGAAACTGAAATGTTGGTATCTATACCGCAGGGACATGGAGAACTTGAACTAGATAGCGGTGAAATTCTTACCATCCCCAAGCAAGTTCTCCAAGCAAAAAGAAGTCACGTTATTGTTCAATACAAATGGCATTGTGAAGAATTGAAGTTCACACCGCTGAGTGATCGAAATTATTTTATATTCTTGAAAATCTGAACGCATCCGAACAAAAAGGTTTATCTGGTTTAGACGATTTTGCTGTAACAGCGTGAGACGTCTGAGAAAATTTAAATTTAGAGAATTTATTAAATTAAAGAATTTAGTTGTCAAAAGTTTCTCATATCGTTAGCCGAACGTAAGAGACTGATTAGTTGAATCAAAAAATCTAGTCAGTATCTTAAGAGTCGTTTTCAAATGTACTGTTCTGTCGACACTCCAATCGCTAGTCATTGTACTGTATACTGTTTGAGTCAAAAAAATAAGGATACATACAAGGAAAAATGCGGCCATGATTACAATCTCGTCTGTGAAGATTGCGCCGCTCTCGCACGGTTGCTCGATGATATTGAAGAAAATATTACCATCTTAACTGATAAAGAAACTAAAAACGAATTGACGTATGATTTTGAACAGTCACGCGATGCTATTGTGGAGCAATCGCGCCATATAGTTCGTTCAGTCCAGCAAAATATCAGCAAAGCAAATGATATTAAAAATTGATGCTATTAAAAGATGATATTAAAAAATAATCAGATGATTGTGCCTACATGACTGTAGATTGGGCTCAAAAAATACTACGTACAGAGCATAGAGAAGGGCAATCAAAATATTTTGGCAAAAACGGTATGTCTGTACTTGTCGAATCATTCACGATGAATAACCCAGAAATAGCAGGTAATATTTTTTGGAGATCTTCTCTTCTGTTCGTGAAAGTTGTCGATCTTTTAGACAATAT